AAAGTAATCTATTGTGAATGGCTTTTTTGCTTTTGTTTTATTCCAGGCAATGAGTGCAGCTGTCTGCTTTATGATTGATGGTAAGTACCTATTAGCATCAATTATTTGCCAAGACTTTCATATGTAAAATACTTTGACATGCAGCTTGTTTTACTCTTGAAAAATACTCACATTAATTTGTTATTTGAGTCTCTTTTTCATGAGTGCTTTTAGCAGTCTTTTATCTTTGTTCCAGTGGTACAAGTAACTCTTGTTACACAATAAAATGACTAAATACTGCTTCAGTTAGCCATATTCAAAATCACCCAAGGTTTTAATTGTGGGAGAAATTTGTCCTTGGACTCTTGCTGATGTTTAAAGAAAACAACTACAGAAACTGTACCTTCAGCTGTGGGATGAGAATCTCACCTCTCCCTTTTCTCTGCCTGACACAGCTTCAATTCCACCCACACTGGAGTTCTGCAGAAAACTGGACAGCATTGTCGGGCCTCAGCTCACGGTGTTGGCATCAGACATATGTGAACAATACAACATCAACAAGAGAATATCAGGGTTTGTACCACACTTCTTTTCCTGCTGCATTCCCTCATTAATTGATGAAAAGTTAGGTTAAATGAACTGCTTCAATAATGGTAACATGAGCCCAAATTTTGAAAGCGTTAATGGTGTACTTAAAGCAATGCTTGTCTACTTTTCTGCATCTTTAGTGTTTATAAAGTGCATGTTATTGCATATTTGGGTTTCCCTGAAGTAACAATAGATGTTACTAATTTAGGAACAAATGTTTATTGTCTGGCTGAAATGGGAATTTTAGTGAGTAAGTTATTTGGTTGCAGTGGAAGCTTTACTGTTGAGGACTTTTCCAGAATTACTGCTTCTTGAAGTGTTGCCATATATAGTAGGTGAGGAAAAAAAGGTCTTTTATTTTTCTATTTTGCAGGACTAAGGTAATTACTTGAGGGGCAAAAAGCAATCCAAAGAAAAAGGATGCTAATGCTTTGGAAAATATCTTTCACTTAGAACTACAGCTTGACTTGCAATAAAATTGCATTTAATTTTTTATAAATTTATTAGTTGGGGAGGCAAGAACAGTATCCCATATGGCAACATAAAAGGAATTCAACCAAAGATAGGTGTGTGAGTGAACTCAGTCAGAGGTACCATCCCAAATCAGCAAAATCTCACAGGATAGAATAGGATGTACTTGAAATTGTGCCAATCTACTAAATCATTAAACTTGGGGTTTTAAAATGTCATCTGGGACTGGCTTTGGCAGCTTTAACTCTTTAAAAGTTTAATGCCATAGTGTCCTGAAAACATGATACAGTTCCTTGGCACTAATGCATGTGGGTGACAGAGAGTAGGGGTATCTGGTTGTTTGCTATGGTGAGCAGTGTCATCACAGTATCTCCTGCTTCTAAATAATGCACTGCCTCAAGTACCAATTGCTGCAGCCAGTTTTTGGTCAGTCTGAATGTGTTATGACTTCTACAAAAAATTACAGCTCTAGGTTTTTATATTAACTTCATAAAAGAGGAAATGGAGGAAGACAGCCAAGGCAGGAGTTTGAAAATAGTCTCTTGCTTGGCCCACACAAATGATGTGGGGGGAAATCTAATTGCCTGGATCAAGAAAGAGTTTGTTCGCTTGGTTGTAACAAATAACAAAAACATGAATAGAAGATGACTTATTGCTCAAATTAAAGACCCAGGATCCATTCAGATCAGCTTTGACTGGGATAAGGGAGAGCAGCAGGAACAAAATGAGGCCAGGAAAAAACAGCTCATTAGAAAAATGCAAATTAATTACTACTCTGAAGTAGGACAAGGCCTTCAGACTCCCCTGTGTGTTTTTACTGGCAGCATGAGTGGCAGAAGGGGAAATACTGGCTGGTTCTGCAGACTCAGTTGTCTTTTGGGGTTTTTTTTAAGTGTGTTAAAATGAGTTTCAATCCCACAAGTCTCTTCAATGTGAAGATAAGTCCAGGCTGTGTAAGTTAGCTTTCCACTGGCTCACTACCCAGTCTCTGGGAAGCCTCTGCTTATAGAGCATGTTGGTATTCACAAATCACTTTTTTTCTTGCTTTTTAAATCTTCCTAGGGCTGAGAAGGAACCTCAGTTTAAGTTTATCTATTTCAATCACATGAACCTGGCAGAGAAAAGTACCATTCACATGAGGAAAACACCCACTGTATCACTTGCATCTGTTCACCCTGACCTCATGAAGATTCTCGGTGACATCAACAGTGACTTCTCCAGGTAATGCTTAACTATTAAATAGTCTGCAACTCCTACTGTCAAGCAGATTTTTTTTCTTTGCAAAGGAATGGTGCTTTCCAGTCTTTTTGTTGAGGCTGGCTGTTCATGTTTGGGATTTTGTGTTGGTTAGAAGCAGTCCATCTTAAAAAAACAAACTTCTAGTGTCCTTTTAAACAAAAAATTAAAAGAGGGCCTCTATCAAAGAAAATATGTCATCTATTGGAGGCTTCAGAGTAGTCATAGAAAATGGGATGGGAAGCACAAGAGTCTGTCTAATCTGGGAAAGCAATGTAAATGACAGGGACACTTGCTTCTGCCTGTGTCATACTTGCCCTGACACAGCTGGTGACTTCTAGGGGTGAGACAAAGGATGAAATGCAAACCTTGCAGTTACTGCAGCCCTGCTGACAGAGAAGGTAAGTGGCTTCTTGTCAAAGGGTATCATGCTGCAAGGTGGGAGAGACCCTCTGTCATTATAAAAGTTAAGAAAGAACATGACAATGCTGAATGATTGGGATGCCCCTGACTCTAATTAGCAACAAGCTGTTTTCCCACTATGCTTAAGGACAAGGTTTCCATTTTTCTATAAATGAAGAAAGTGTGTTTCATCATGTTATGGAAGTACTGGGTTAGTGACAGCTTTATAGAAGATATCCAGTTGTGGAGCATAGTTTAGGTCTAGGTTTAACAGTTCTCTGAAAGCTTAGTATCACCAACCCATCTCCAGCTTTCAGCATTTGGTCCCTGTGGAGCAAATCCTCATTCTGTGAAGTGTGTCCTTACCAGAATGGAGGAAAGGTGCTTCCTTCAGTGTTTTCACTGCAGTGTTTGGCTAATGAAAAAATTACTGATTATCACATTTGGGCATGTCCTAAGCAGCCATTTCTGAAGGCTTCGACCTGGACTGAGTGATGGCCAAGTTAGAACTGGTGTTTTGATACTGCACAACCACAATTTCTGACATTAAGCTGTCCTAATGATTACAGATAAAGTTGTTGAAGATGAAATTGCTGCCACCTTCTTTACTTTTTAAAACTTCTTTCAGAGTTGATGAAGACGAGGAAATTATTGTGAAGGCAATGAGTGATTACTGGGTAGTTGGGAAAAAGTCTGACCAGCGAGAACTATATGTTATTTTGAATCAAAAAAATGTAAATCTGATTGAAGTTAATGGTAAGGATTGTTTCTTATTACCTTTAAATACAGTTACTCCTAAAATGTGTGCCCCTAGACGAGTAGTACAACCCAGCTCATGAGAAATCTAGAGAGGGACTGATCTTTGATGGAGCAGGTGGGTTTGCCTGAGGTTTTAGTCTGCCTACTACGAGCTGTGAAAGGACAGCATAAATATTCAGCAGGCATTCTTAATTATTAATCAGTCATTCTTCCTCCTTCAATTAATAGAGGACAGCACTGTGAGCTTAGTTTAGGTGCAATTAAAAAAGTGTATTACAGATGAAAGATGAATATATTTACATCTATTTGTCAGTGATCCAGGGTTAGTTACTTACACATTGTGGCTGACTTGTCAGTGATCCTCATCCATCGCTGTCTTGTTTCTAAGATGGTTTTGAGAATGATTTACTAGGACTAAGAATGAGAATTAACATGAAGATGCAATAAGCTTTTCCACTGCTATTTCTCTAAAAATCTGTTTGAATCTTGCAGCAATGCTAGGGCTCTCTGTTCTAACAGGAGGCATTAGACAATGGGAAAGAATTCATACCTTGCCAGGACCAAAGCCTAACAACCTACATTTTAAAAAGAGGAATGAGTTGTGTAACTTGGAAATCTCTCTATAACTGTCTTTCAGCATCAAACCTACCATACAGAAACAGTGAGTGAGTGTTTCTGTGCCTGATAAACCTAGGAAGTTTATCAGTCTACCAAATAACACAAAGCAAAAGTTTTGCAGACTTGATTTACCGCAACGGAATATCCTAATTCCTCCTTTCTCTGAAAAAGGGGTTATAATATACTTCCCTTAACTATATGTTAAGCCAAGTCTACTGCTGTTGCAGTGTTTGATGAGAGGCCCATCATTTACACTTAAACCACTTTCAGACAGTGGGAGACATCAGACTTGACTTTCTCCTACTGAAAAGACAGCAATATTAAGTGTTATTCTACATTAGAAACTCTTAGGGCCTTTTTCTGTTTGAATTTTATTAAATTCTCTATGACAATCCCCAGGATTTTTCTGGAGGAGGTTTCTGTAAAATACAATACTGATGGTTTTTTGGTTGGTTTTTTTTTAACAGAAGAAGTGAAGAAACTTTGTGCAACACAGTTTAATAACATTTTCTTCTTGGATTGATCTGCAAAGGGCTGATTTATTGAAGATGTCAATGTCAGGCACTTGTTCAACATGAGAAGTTATTAGTCATATTATTGACTGGAATAATGACAATAGTAAAGCAATACTTGCTTTGTAAGAATCAAAATTTCTACTAAAATCTGTAAACTCTGACCATAAAATTTTTAAATTTTAAAAATGTTTATGTGCAAACTAACTAAAAACCAGTCTGAATTCATCTGTACCATTCCATTCTGATATGTTATGTGAATATTTTGCTGAAAAATAAAACTAATAATTGTTACACTTTAGAAGCATCTGTGTTCATTTGCATCATGTAACTTCCTGCTAGTTATCCAAAACTCTGGTGTTTCCCTCTGAAACCAGCAATTCTTGTGCATGCAGTTGAGCCATTCTTACAGCTTCCTACAAGTGGGTCTTCTGGGGTTGTTTTGGTTTGTTGTTTTTTTTTTTTCTTATTTGAAGAGTTCTTGCTTGAAGCTTCAGCAGTTCCCAGCAAAGGATTTATTTCTTTTTCTTTTTGTCAGCAGTTGCCTTGGTACCTGTGGGTGCTGCCTTCTTTGCCTCTTCCCCCTCAGGCTCTGCTGCTTGTGAGCCTCTTTTCTTTGGTGAGGGTTCTGTTTTGGAGGCCTCTTTTCTCAGCTGGAGACCTCTCCAAGAGAGGAGTTTCTCCCAAGATGACGAGGCTCGTTCCCTCTGCTTGATACTCTCCTGTAATTCTGCTGCTTCTTGCCTTTTTGCCTCTTCTTCTTCTTCTTTTTCAGCAATAAGTCTGCATGATCAAAATTTGAATTTAAGATACTGTAAGAGAAGGGAAACAGGTTTCCACTGGCTAAGCAACTCCAGCTCTAATCATAGTGTGAGCAGCATCAACTGCCACAGTGCAGAGAAGCAGAAAGTCTCTAATTACCCCCTCAAGTCCAAATATGTCTTAACTGTCTTTACACAGAGCATGAACCAAATACCAGGAAATACCAGAGCTAAGTTTGTAAGGTGAAAGCAGCCTGTATTTGTTACTCCAGCCAGTAGCGGAAAGCACATGAGTTTCATTCTGTATGTTACTAATGAAACCTGTGGGAGTTAGTTTTCCAGGTACAGTATGCTATATTACTTTCTTGAACACTTCTCATTTTCAATAATTTTGCTTGTGGAAGATAAAGGATAACAGTACTGCCAGACAAGATTCAACACTCACCTTTCCAGCTCCTCAGCCTGGCTCTTTCTCAGCTCAGCTAATTCATCATTCTCCTTTTTTATTTCTTCTATTTTATCTCTCAGCATTATGTCATGCTCAAAAGCAGGGAATAACTTAGTTGTGAGAAAGGTTTCCACCTGACACATCCAGAAACTAAACGGCTCCTTTTGTTCATCTTTATCTTCTTTTGCTTCATCTGCAAGATGTAAATAAAACATGTTTATTTAGCAGGGCACTTCTATTTCAAATGTGTTTTGGACTACAATATTTCAGCTCTGATACTCTGCAAAGGGAAGGTCTGGCTTCTGCATGGTACAGAGGATGCAAGGTGTGAGACACTTTGAACTGAATGGGGGTGGCCCTTTTGTGAGGCTTCAGTGACTTGGCCCTGGGAATGGCACAAAAAGACAATGCTCTTCCCTTTAATCCTATGGTAAGAGTCTTCTGCAGTAACCTGATGACAGTTCAGTATCTGTGACTCCTGTGCACGGGGGAAGGGATGAACAAACATGAGCACCTGAAAGGACAGAGGTGTGTGCCAGTGTCCCTTGTCATGTCAGGAAACAGGCCAGGCCCAGGTGATGGGCCCTGAACAAACAGTTTTTCAGATGTGTAACATTTCACCCATCAGATTTCAGCAAAAGAGCTGATGACTACATAAAGATCCTTGTCAAACTCTGTCCTTGGATTTGAATTCTGTAGCAGAAGAAAACATTTAACAAACATAAAAACCAACCCAGATGAGATCTGCTAATCAGCTGGAAGGAAGATGGTACAGAAAACTACGACCTTCAACATACCAAAGTGCTCTTACTGAACATCTCTTCTGCCTGAGTGTTGGTCTGTCCTAACATAAGGCATCTTATCCCAGCTAGTGGTGGCACACCACTAATTATAATTCTGATTTTAAGTAGAAGCAGCAGGACCTGGCAGTAATACATTTTATTTGTCCAAGACACTCCACAGACAGGCTTGCAGCTTGAGCTTCTCATAAATACAAATTACAGCTTATAGATGCCCCACAAATTAAACACAGCGTTTTAAAATTGGGGAAACTATGTAAGTCAGTACTTAAATTCTTATTTAAAGTTTCCTTTTCTTTTAAAAAATATTTTAAATTTTTAAAAAAATCTTCCTCCAGAATTAATGCTCATTTACTGCCCTCTTGTGACAAGCTGAAATCTGCCAATACAAATAAAACGTCACAATTCAAGATCTACAAGAGATTTGTGTGTGTGTGTTAAGTCCTAAAACAGTAGGACTGTTTTACCTATCAATTCCTTTTCTGGACAGGAATCTTGTTCTTCTTTTACATCCTTGCTGGGCAATGACACATCATCTTTGCTTTCTCCAGGAGTTATGGGAAATGAGAGAAGAGTTTCTGATATTGCAAAGAAAGAAAATTAAAATTACTCAGCCTTTAATCCTGTGCATGAAATTCCAAGTTTGATCTTCAGCACAAATATAGGTTGTTACCTGCCCTGAAAGTCAGACCTGTGGTTAAAATACTTCTGAAATGATGAAAAGTTTGTTTCTAATGAAGGCACAATACAGAGTTCAAGCTCCTGTTTCCATGCCCACATGAGTGGGACAGAACTGGAAGAATTAAGGTTTAAAAAGCATTTAAAGCTATTTTTAAGGAAAAAGTGATAGCTTCTAATTAAGAAAAAATTCAGAGATTCCAACTTGCCCAGCCATCTGTGTACAGCAGGTATGGAAAGCTAAACATAAACTTTGTCATAATTGCCAAACTGAATGGAGCTGCCCTCTGTAACTGCAATACATCACCTATTTCCATGATCAGCTCCTGTTTAATTGTTTTGAAAGTTGTAGAAAAAGTGAATCTCCTCAAGCCAGTTTATAGTTTTGTAGCCACTTTACACAGTACTCACCCAGTAGAGAAGGTTGATGAGCAGGCTTTGTGTCTTCACAAGGTCTCGGTGGCTGGCAAGAAGTTTTAAATTCAGTTACTAAATGTCTGGGCCTGTGTTCAAATCACAAAGTGAAATCCCAATCATGCAAATTCCTATCTCCAAAGCATTCTTCCAGCCAAATGCATCCTGCAATCATGCCTATCTCAAAATATTTCTATTGCAGGAGTGTTTCACCTTTTCAAGTATTACCAGCTAACACTTTTCCTTTGATACCAGCCAGGCAAGCAGGATTATCCTATTTCAGAGCTAGGGGAAGACAGCACTACAGAAATTGAAAGCTCCTGTTCCTTGACCTGTTCCTCTGTTCTTACATGTTGCTCTACATATTGTTCATCTATTGTTCATCTGCTCCTGAATGTACAGCTCAGCTGCCTTGGAAATGTCATCATTTATGTCTGTACCAATTATACTTCTGCTGCACTAATGAAATGTAACACAAGAACAATTTTAGCCTCAGTACATTTAATTAAGGGGTTTTTTTTCTTTTTCCTTTTTTTTTTTTTTACTATTTTAACTGGACCACTTCACTGTCCAACTGTGTCACTGCTTGCAGTGATGCTGCAAGGGAATGGGTGCATAGGGTGAGAACAACTGGCCAAAGAATGGGAAGTGGTGGTGTACAGTGGCACTACTGGCTCACTAGAGGCTGTGAAATTATGTTTGTGAATACTTCTTGAATTAATAAAAATACTTCCATCTTGTGCATAATTCCAAATAATAACAATTTTAATTCATGTCTTCAACTACTCTGTATATGCAAATTGCACCAGTGTCAAGAAAAAGAGGACAGCTCAACTGCTGGCAAACAGCAAGGCTTGCTACATACAACAGCTGCCATTTTTACAGGACAATTTTAGACACTCAGCTCAATGCAGAAGAGACATATCTTTCACGAGCCAACCAATCTGTCAGTTCCCCTTCGGAAGTACTATGTGTATTTACAGTTATCTGGAAAATGTGCAAATATGTTAAAACTGTCTACACTGATGTTAAAATTTAAGGTACCAACAAACAGAAAAAGCAGAAGGACTCAATCAAGTATTTTTTTATGCAAAAAGGGGAAATTGGTTACCATGGTCAGGAAACAGAACATTTTCAGGGCCTGACTTCACTCTCTCAGTGGACACATAATAATATTGAACAGGTCTGCATCAGCCTTACCTGGGGTGGAGAATGTTCCGTGGGAGACACAGCTGAGGTTTCCTTGGAGCACTCCTTGATTTCAAAGCTACTTCTTTTCTGGTTATCTTCAGCTTCTTTCTTCAGGATCATATCCTCAGTAACATACACCAATGCACATTCAAGAAGAGCTTCAAAAAATTCTAGAAAAACCATCTAGAGTAAAACAAAGGCAGTGGTAAATTAGTTCATTTTTACAAAATCTCTTCATTAACAGGCCTATGTACCTGAGCAAGCAAAGAACTCAGAAGTTGTAGTGAAGTCCCCCTGGCCTCATTTATCTAGTCAAACATCCCTTTTTCTGAAGAAAAACTGAGAACAGCCAAAGCTCAAAAAATTCAGGAGAGGATATGATGTGTTATACTTTATACTTATACTGAGCTAAAACACTGCACTGATTTTTGTTGTATCTGGAGCTATGAGAAATTTCTCCAACAAGTAACTCACAACTACAGCTATTACCTAAAACATCATATTTTAATTGCATGGGATGCTGCTAGAAACCTCAAGAGTGGGTTTATAATGGATTCCTTAGTAAGACTTACACTGTGTGTTCAGTTTATCAGATCCTGTTTAAAACAAATTCTGTTATGTCATTTACAAAAGACTGTTGCTAAGTAAGAGTTAACTCTTTAAGGGTGAAAACCCTCTACACTAAGCCAGTTCTCAGGTAGCACAAGAGTCTTCTGCAGTCACTATTTGTCCTCACTGAGGTGGCAGCACCTCACATGTCACTCATCAGGTTTCTTGCATCACCAGATTTTCAGGATCAGTGGGTTCAGATCTTACTTACTGATCCACCTTAACAGCCTCAGTGCAGTGACTAATCCCTGATCACTGCATATCCATATTGTCAGGCAGCTCCCTACTACCAGCACTCCACTGGAAAAGGCATTTCCCTGCATCGATTATGGCACTCCTAAGGACCTTTCTGAATGGTCAAGTATGCTGAGACTGTGCTAAGATGAGGTAATTAAGAAAAAACATAGAAGTACATTAGCTAAACTAAAAGATATAAGCAGAACAAAGGAAGACAAATGGAGGCTGAAGTTTTACTCTATTTTTTAAAAATAAATTAATTCCTTTTCCTTCTCTTCCAGCAGGTAGGACAGCATTTGCAGTAGTTCTTAAAAGCAATTTTAACTGTTCCTGTAGCAACAGACTATGGGTTTTTTCCATACACACCTCCAGCTCCAGGTTGACACCATGGATGGCAGGTAGGGAGGCACCAATTTTGACAAATATTCCCAGAACTCTTGCAGCAGTTAATTGTTCACTGAGAAGTTTATAATCCTGGGTAAGAATAAATATCACATGTTAACAGCACTTAAGGCATGCCCCACATGGACCTAATCTACCTCCCTTTCAAGCCTTTGCCAAAATTTCTAGTGGTTTCAAATTATACTTCCACATATGTAATTAACAGCAGAAATTCTAGTCCTATTCAAGCCAATGGGAATTTTCCCTAGACTGCAAAAGCAGTGTTACAAAAGAACTTGAGAAAGCTCATAAACAAAAATACAAAAAATTACAACTTTGTCATCCGATCTTTTCTTCATGAAAAAATTGCTCAGATTTATAAAGTGAAGCACCCAAACCCTCGGCATATCAGGGGGAATTGTTCTCTACCTTCATAGTAATTTTGATCTGTCCCCAAGTTACTGAATTTTAGTAAAGAAGCTCATGCTCTTATTGTAGTAATTTATTGAAACGGTTTATGGTGTTATTTCAATAGCTGTCAGTCTTTGAGTTCTAACAATAGGACATGTTCATAAATACATTTTATAGATGGGGCAGAGTGAGACACAGTGGGGATCAGCAAAAATATTTATATTCCCTTAAAACACATTTGTCTAGGATTTGATAAGAGTAAAAAGTTACAATTCAAGTAATGACAAAGTGCATAAATAACAGTAGATAATAGTAGAACAACTGTTCTTTTACTGCTCCTTGGACAGTTTGCACAAATAACCTCACTCCCACCTTCTCAACTGTGCAGAAGCCACAGGGACTATTTTAAAAGGCTCATAAAAACTGAACAAAGAGATCACATCTAATCACACAAAACAAAGCAAAATTAGACTATTACATCCAACATCCAGAGGAATTGCCTCAGCTTCACTGTGGAGTCAAATGGAGGTCTGGGACATGGTCTAGAAAAGTCTTTGTATATATCCCAGCATTTCTCAAAGTAGCTCATGGCAAAAGATGAGAATTCTTTATCAGAATATAAGATACCTTTCAAAATGAATTGGGAAAAAATAACATTAACAATAAAACTGCAATGCATGTGATACTAATTAATGAATTCTGCAAAGAAGAAATAGCATTGCTTACTTTGGACACAACAGGCAGAGGGCAGAACATTCCTGAACATCATTTCTAAGAAACACTTCTTCAGATTAGGAACTTCATCTCTACAGTTGAAACAAAACCACTCTTGTCTGGGAAGATTCAAACTGATTTTACTGAAATAAATATCACTAAAAGATGAAACTTACTTGTACTCTTTATGATAGATATGAAATGCCAGGTGAACAAGGTAGGATACAAATGTTCTGAACAGTAATATATGTCTTGGATCATGTATGTTCTTAGGTGGTTCATCACCTGAAAAATTTTTTAAAAACCAAATTTCTGCTGTTCTCATGTATATTAAAATGCTTATAGGCATACTGATTTTTCAGCCCTTCTTATCCTCTCCATCTGCACCTATCACAGTGTAACAACACTCCCAGGAGACTCACACCAGACAATGCAGCACTTCCAAACAAATTTTAAGGGAGAACTGTCCACCTGTAGCTGGATCTTGGACAATTCTCTTTCTAGAAATGCATCCACTCAGCATATATAGAAATAAAAGAGGATTCAAAGTTGGAGTTAAACCCTTCACATACTAAGGACAGTGCAGGTCTAAAGGGATTTGATTGATTAACTGGCTCTATGGAAGACAAAAAAATACTACATGCAAACCAAAGTTACAAATACTAAAAAAAAAATAAAATTTGTTTCTCCTACTTCTCTCTCAAAATTCTCTCTCTCTCTCTCTCTCTTAAATTGTAATGGCAAGACCAGGGGTGAAATAGATGGCTCTTCAGGCCAATTTTTTATGTTGTATTTTAATTTTGCATTTTCTCGCCTAAGGACCAGAAGTGCCCAGAGAAGTATAAATTGATCCACTGAGAACTCCCAGGCACAAGGTACTGACTCAGGACCACTTAACTCCCAGAGCTGAGCTGCCAGGAGAACTTGCCACTCCAACCCTCCACAGCTTACCCTGCTCACCAGGAATACAAACCTCTCAACAGTCGATCTATTTCAGCAAGAGTTACGGAGGAGAGAAGAAAATTGCAGTCCTTCAGAAATCTCCAAAACTTCAGCATAGTCAGGGAGCAAACACCGTCAGGGGAAGCACAGCCTAAGGCACTGTAGAAGTAGTAGGCTTTTCTCAATTCTGAAATATGCCTCAACACAGCCAATTGTACCTGAATAAAGCAGGATATATTTTCAGCATCATCTCAAAGCAATAAGAGACCGGTTTGTATTGATCCTGTAACTGGGCAGATAATTATTTGACCTTGCAACTTAGCATATCCCTGGCTAAGAGTTCACAAAAGCATTACTCAAAAGTAATGCTTCAACTCAGAAGGGTTTTGGTGACTGATAAAAACAAATCATCCTCTGTCAGTGGACAAACCTCAGAGTAGCTAAAGCTGGTTGCTCCATGCCCTTCCAGATATGTTAACCCATTTTTAACTGGCCTTTTTTTAGTGGAAGCTCAGAAGAGGCAATACTGTCTATTCATTCTTTTTGCTTTTCTGTTTTCATGTCTTTCAGATTTTCAAATAATTGTTTAATGGAAAAAGTTACTTTAACACAAATAAACCAGAGATAAAATAGTATGAAACACAATACAGGGGAAAACTGAAAGTATCAAACAGTAGACTTATACTTGTTGCATTTCATCCTCTCTCTCTTCTCTTGGGAAGAAGGAAAGCAGTGATGATACATCCAAATCAATATCTGATCCCAGAACAGAAAACTCTCCCAAGTCCTTAGTGATTGAAGTCCTTTCTACCAAGCAAATAAAATAAGTTAGAACAAACTAAAACAAAGCTTACTATATACACACACAGAAAAACAAAATGTGTATTATTCCTTCTTATATTACTGACTTGGAACAATAGATTCCTTCACAGTAAGAAGGAGAGATTTCACAACCAACAGCAGAACAACTGAAGAGCAATTCTGTCAAATCAACCCCTAACCAAAAGGAAATGCAGACATTATAAAACCTGTGAAACTTTCACACAACAGCTCCATTCATTACAAGATGTGGTGTGGATGTGCCACATCACTCCAAGTGTCACTGACAGCAAATGCAGCATGGAAGCAAAAGCCATGACTCCTATTTCTATCTAAATTCTTTGAAGAAATAGGTCTGGTCCTTGAGTATGTACAAACAGTTTCATATTATAGTAAAATGGAACAACAAAATGTGACTAAGTAAAATGTGTTTTGTTAAGCTGCTCACCAGTGCCAAAATTGCTTCTTGGGCTAGTGGCTCTCAGGTTCTTGGCTTTCACAGCAGACCCTTGATGAGTACGACATTCCACAGGATGATCATTTATAAACTCTCCTTCAAAAGCATTACCATCCTTGAAGACAAAGATGCCCTACAGACAGATTAATTATAACATAAATATAAAACAAAGATTAAAAAACCCTCCAAACCACTAATTCTCTCAGTCAAATTTCCTTTTCAGAATCTTGGCTAAAATGCAATATATGAAATAAAATACAGCAAAATAATTTTTCCTACCCTCTTTTACTGCATTTTGTCACCTATTAGATAGGTACACTGTTGGGATGAAGGACTGACTATATATCTGTTTGATTTTGAAAAGTATTTTCCCCCCATATAGAAAGACTTGTTTGTACTCCTTAGGTTGCATATATGGCACTCCACTCAGAGTTTTTTCAAAAGTCTGTTTTATGAGAGGTTTTAAGAACTTCTCTGTGCAAGGACAGCTTGAAACCCATTAGCTCGTAGTAGAAGTGTGAAATTCTGACCAACCACTGCAAAACTCAAGATGCACCCATTGAACTGAAAATATCCACAGTGAAATATATGTCTTTGTATACCCAAAACATATCTAATCACAGAGTCAGCCTGTGTCCTTGGAAGGACTCCAGCTGCTTTTGGACTCTCTGCCCTTTGTGTGGGGATTCCATCCACACTGCAAACTGAATGTAATTTGCTGTACAGAAATCTAGAGATCCACTTATACAGAGCAGAACAGTTTGCTCTGCTGTTGTCTGTAGTTCTGACAATACTCACCTTGCCATGCTTCTTATTATGCACCCATTCTCCCTTGTACACTGCTCCATCAGCATAAAGAAATGTCCCATGTCCATGGCGCTCCCCTTTTACAAAATCCCCCGCATATGCATTCCGTAGAGAATACTTAGACATTTCCATTCTCTTCAAAAACCATGTGTGCATACCAGAACCATGCTGAAAAAAATTGTGTGTTTAAAAAACAGGTCCAGACTTTGGCAATTCTCTGAAATAAAAGCCCCCAGCTGATGGCTGCAGCACTTCAAAGCGGGGACAGAACTAGATCCTACAACGGTGCGTGGGAGAAGCACCCAGAGGATGCACTGCACCAACACACACTTGAGCAAGCTCTACCACGGGACTCCTAAAGATACCCACCCTTCCTCCCTGAATCCTTCTCCTGAAGTGAACAGCCAGGTGAGGAACACCATGCCACAGAGCCAGGATGGTCCACAAGCTGGACTCCTTGACAATTTTAAGCAGAGTGGAAAGACAGAGCAACTAACTCGCCTTCTTTTTGAAACAGAATAATAAATGGAAGGAACTGAAAATGCCACAAAATTGTCTCCCATCATAAAACTTTTCCAAGTGGGAACAGTGTGGTCTAGTATTTTACAGGTGACACAGAAATAAACTGCCACATATACCTACTGCTGAAATTGTAGCTCAAGCTAAGTCACAAACACTTCTTTAACTTTTTTTTTTTAATTGAAAAATGTTTATATTTTCCACTAGGGAAAGAAATTTTGATTTTATAAGACTAAATCAAAATCCTTTAACAATTTGAATATTGCTAACATAAGAATCAATTTACAATAAAGAACATATTTTTTGTTATCCCAACTGGCAAACTCAACTGGCAAAAATGATACAAAGCTCCTTTGATATTGCACAAAACTCCCTATTTAGCTTTCCTAGAGTAGTGGACAGATGCTGAACTAAAGAAGGGTTTCTGGGGAAGAAGTTAATACCTGCATGCCACACTCCCACTGTCCTTCGTATTCTTGATTATCTGTCACCCATATCATTCTTCCATGTCCATGTCGTAGATTTTTCTTCCACTGACCATTATATATATTTCCAGACCTGTAGCTGCAAAAAAACCAATGAAAGTTAATTCATACTGAATTCTGTGCTGATCTCATAGAAGGTTTATGTGAAACCTCATTGCTAATAAATTTATAATTTATTAAGGCTAAATAGAAGCATTAAATTGAAAATTGACTCATATGACATGGACACAGAGGTTTTATTGTAGCCACTGTTTACCTCCTATTTTAAATTTAGAAATCACTAAAAGTATTAACCAGCTCTTTTTCCCAAAAAGTCTTTTCCATAGCTATTAACAATATTTGTTTATATATAATTCTATAGATAAGTCATTTATTCATAAGGCAGCTTTATCTGCTCAAATCAATCGAGTGTGTTTGTCTGAATTGTGGTTTACCAAAGCTGATTTGGGATTTTGTCTTTAGCTATTCTTTTGTGTGAATGGTCAGTAGAAATACTGCACATAAAAATAAACTTCTAAAGGTCTGTTTTGTTATCATAAAGCACTTTGTACATTTTTTATTCCACTGCAGAAGGTACACACTACTATGAAATGACAGCATTTGTACCCACTTTATACAACACAAGAAACTGCAACATAATTCACAAAAGTAAAAAATGTTGAGGGTAAGAACAAGTGTTATCATATTTACCGTCTGATTCCCCACCCTTCTCTGACATTATTCACCCAATCACCTTTATACCAGGAGGTCTGTTCCTCATCATAATAAATCTTACCCTGAAACAAAGAGCGTAGTCAGTTTAAATACCTAAATATTCATCTATCTGAATAAAACACCACATACAAATAACATGACGCTTGTAATCACGTTTTAATACTTAGGGTCACTTTGACTCACTGTACTGAAAGCAACTGAAGGGATACAATTCACTAAAGAAAGCAAGCTCTTTTGATTAATATTAAGACCTTAGAAAACACCAAGTGTTCAAAAGAAAAATCCTATTACATTACATCAAAGTCTACCATTTTTTCAAACCTCTTGGAAATACTTTGAGAGAGCTAACCTTGGCATCTTAATTACAGTACTCAGTCTGAGGCAGATCAGTTTTCTGACCCATTCAAGTCTTTTACTTCCAACAGTAGGTCTACAGTATTAACTGTATTCACAACCTCAGAAAAGCTCTCTAGGAAAAACAAATCTCTACACAGCATAAGATCATGCAACAGAACAAAAGACTTTCGCAAAACCTTTGCACAGTAACGCTTGCTGCTCCTGAAGTTATCACCTGAGCCCATGCCCTCATTTAGTTCTTACTGACCTTTCCATGTCTTTTGCCATTGCACCAATAACCAATGTAAGAAATTGGATGAGTACCACTCCTGAAAACTCCATATCCGTGCCTAAGTCCATCTTGGATTGATCCTTCGTAAACACTGCCATCATTCCAGGTATAACGGCCATTATGCATCGGCACATTCTTAACAAATGTTCCCTGAAAGATTAAATTACAACATTAAAATCTAAGATTCTCTGTTTCCCAACCTTCTGGGACAAGTCAGGCTTGTAATGAAATCACTGCCACAGCTCTGCAGTTACCACCTGTACTGTACCAATTACTGCACCTTTTCTACTTTCCTTCAATTTGCCCATCTAACTGCGTGGAACCGTATTCAGTCATAACTTAAATTGTACTTTACCTCGTACTTTACTCCATCAGCCCATGAGTAAATCCCTTCTCCATTCATACGCCCTTCAGAAAACAGACCCTTCAAAATGAAGAAAATAGCATCATTTGCAGATTTACTCTTACCCCAGCTGAAGCCTACAGTGACTGTAAGATTTTAAAAGAATGACACATTAATTCCCCTCCAACTACTAGTTTCAAATCAAGAGTTTTAATGTTTCTCAGTGCTCTTGAGAGAGAACTTACTGCATTACTTTTTTTTTAATTTATACACTTACCTTGTATGTATTTCCTCCCTCAAAACATATAAATCCTTCACCCTCATAGAATTCATCAACTTGTTCACCTTCATAGCTACAAAGAAAACAAATTAAAGATGAAGATTTCAAGTCACTGCCAATAGATCTAAATCACATAAATGACCATATAATCACATAAATAATATATAAACGATCATAAATGACCTTTGATTTACCATGGTCTACACACAGGTCAGCTGATGCATCTTGTGTAGAATAATGAACAACCAGAAAATTTTAAAATTTTTGAAACTTCGTTGTAACATTCCACATAATTGTTGTGTTGCCTCAGACCCATATTTCCTTCAATTAAGAAAAAAACCCACATTGGTAGTATTTTCTACCTTACAGTCAGGCATGCTGGCATATGACACATTACATATAAATATCATATTGAAATAAAAAAGGATTTTGTTAACATTGCCATTCACCTGCTTGCTCAGTTTAAGATATTCTGAAGATACAAGAGCAGCTTTAAGCATTAAAAGCCAGCAACAACTAAGATTACATGATATATTTTCCTGCACCTGTTATGTGTATACTTTCACAAAACTTCACTGAAGGTGAACAAGCTAAAAGAATGAGGGTTTTGGCAGGCAGAGAGCACCAGCAGCACTCTAGGATGCAAGAAGGCAGCAGAATTCCACATGTATATCTCCTAAGGTGCCACTGCTACTAGGTCTGAATAACCTGATTCTCTGCTTCAAATCAGTGTTTGTATGACACTGGCTACAGCAGAGGTACTTAAATGAGAGTTCTTGACTTCACTGCTGTATTTGTAACAAGTGTACCTTTTTATAATCACTTGAGCAAGAACAGGCTCTTCGTGGATCGGGAGAACAGGCTGGGCTGGTGGTTCCTCTACCTCTGGCTCTTTATCTGGTGCCTCTGGAATTGCTGGAGTTTCTGTGCTCAATGAGTCACTCTGAAAATCTAGTGTTGTTAAGCTACTCCCAGCTGGGGTATCTAGAGAGTCTTCTGAATTCTCAGCAGCTGCCTTCTTACCATCTTTCTTCTTGGCATCTTTCTTCTTGCCTTTTATCATAGCTACTGAATTGTCTCAGTGTGTACTTTCTTTCTGAAAAATGAAAATTTATTTCTGTCTGAGGTATATATTTTTAACCTATAAACTAGTTAAAAAACCCAAAACACAGACAACTAAAAAAGAAACCAAAAAAAAAAAAAACCCCCAGTATTTCTGTGATTATTATAAATGCATGTATTAAAGTAATCTCTGTAACAGCAATTCAAGCCAGGGGTGTCAGCTTGTGGCAGGCAGGCCACAAGGTTAACAGGGAGCAGTGTCTGTGAATTACCTGCAAGTCTTCCATCAAAACCACTGTGATGCAAGTGTTATCAGTAGACCTACTTTTGCCACATGGAGATCTCCATCTTTATCTGATTTTTAGCTATTAATTACATTGAAAAGCTGAAAGCCATTTCTCAAAGATATGCATTTGGCAAGTTCTGGGAAGTTACACCTGCACTACTATTATTGATTTAATTTGCTTCCAAGTTATGAGTTGCAGACTGAAGCACAGCACAGCACAACAACCAAACCTTGTAGTTATTTTGCCAGTTGAGAGCTACCTGAAGGTTACAGGACTGCCCGCACAGCTGCAATCCTGTCACAGCCGCGTATCACCGCTCGATAGTGCAAGAACCCAGCCTGCGAGTGCCGCAGCGGCGAGGCCCGGCAGGGACAGCCTCAACCGGCACCGGCACCGAGCGGGGAACGGCGGCGCCGGGCCCTTTAGCACAGGGACCCGGCCGGTGCCGAGCCCCTTTGTCCCGCGCAGGCGCAGTGCGGCGGCGCTGCCGTAGCCATAACAACGGCGCCGCCGCGGGGCCCGGGCCCGGCCGCGCTGGCTCCCGCAGCGGCGGAGCAGCGCGCAGAACCGCGGCTCCGCTCCGACACGGACAATTTGCTGCAGGTTCTTGGGCACAGCCGTGCCGGGCACCATGGGCACGGCTCTGCCATGTTGATTGGAGAAGCGGCGCGGAGTGGAGGAACAGCAGCAGCATCATGGCCGCAGCTCCATCAGCAGCAAATGGAGTGTGAAGGGAACACAATCCATAAACACAGATTTCTTGGGTCAAATCTTGGTCCTACAGAACTGGAAAAGTGTAGCTACCTGTTTTAATGGTTTTATTTATTATTAAGATAATTTTATTATATTTATTATTAAGACCATTTTCTACTTGTTTTGATTGTACTGAGAATTTGGACTGACCCGACGGGCAGTGCCTGCTGAGACAGCTTTTTGTCCCATTCATTATCAGAAAAGGAATCCCTGTTCTTGAAAAACAAGTCTGAATTTGGAAGGGGACAATGCCAATTAAAAGTAATGATGCCAGACTAATAATTCTATTCAAGCCTTAAACACGGATAACAGGAAATTAATCATTAAATGTAATATTAAACCTCTAAGTCATTATCTGATAAAACCCAGCTTTGGTATAAGAAAAAATATTTAAACTTGTGTATAATTTTCATTTTCTCTAAAATTATCATATACGTGATGTATAAACATTGAAAACTAATATTTGGTTTATGGCATTGCCAGGGACTTGAATTCACATTCCACTTTATTTTCAGAGGCAGTGTATTTGCTATGAATGAGGTTCAGCTACTCCTGATCTTTATATATAAATGTATTTATTTTATAAAAGTTTTGATTGCTGCTCAAAGAAGTACAACACACAGTAAATTGTAATAAGAGAGAAGTTATTTACATGAATTCCAGGATGCTGGTACTGATGACTGGACAGGCATAACAAGGAAACCCTGCTGAATGCCTCCAAGTGCTCTTGCTTCCAACTTGAAGACTGCCTAAAATTTTTTTTTTTACTCAGAATAAGAAAATCATGATAAAAGCTCAAAATATTGCCAAGAATTAAAATTTAAGATGTTAATAAACAGACACTGACTTATTGTGGTGAAATCAAGTCCAAACTGACTATGTGTCTCATAGTAGGCCTTCCATGGGGGCAGTTCCAGGGATGCTCAATCTCACCCATATGGGTGATCAGTTTTCTCATTTCCTGCACATTCAGTGCAGTTCCAATCATCACCTGCAAGCAAAGGAAAAAAAAATAATTATTTCCTTTTTCCATTTGCCAACTGACACAGACCAGAGCAGCACTTCAGCTACTAGAGTAAATAAATTCTGTACAAGGCATTAAAGGTAAAAAACACCTATCAGACGATCAGAAGACACAACACAGCTAACACTTGGTTCACGAGCCCATTATTTGGAACAAAATAAAAAACTAGCAGAAATATTTCCCAAGGTACACTAGATAAAAACATGAGGAACAGAAGGAAGGATATTAGCTGTTGACACTCAGCAGTAAATAAACTTGCCCTGCCATACCCATGCAGATACAGCCACCTGTACTACATCAGGAAACGTGGCATTTATTTATTTGAACACAAACATCAAGTGCAGTACTTACAGACTTCCTGCAAGCTCGAGAAGCAAACATCTGTCTGACCCTGGAGGGCCTGCACATCACTCCAGGGCAGTCACTCAGCATGAAAATCAGCTCATCTATGTCTTGCGGACCAAAAGTCCAGTTTTTGCTTGTTGGCAATGATACCAATTTAACTCTTTGAGTTACAGGAGCTGGAAGGTTTGCAATGACAATAAAGAAACAGAGAAGTACAAGAAATTACTTTTTTCTTGAGAGAAAAGCTGAGAAACTAAAACATTATTATGATGTGATGTGTGTATATACTAATGTTTAAATTTAATCTTTTGATGGATGTAATTAACTAACCAAAGTGGTAACTATGGCCTTTTAACATCAACCAAAAAGTTGTTTGCAAATGTAAAAGCAAGAAGATCTACTTTCTAACAAACCCTTCAATTCCAAAGAACAAATGGTTTATGAAACTTTTTTGAGTTTATATGACTTCAAAATCACTCAGGATTTATAATGGTAAGAGACTGATAATTAAGGGCATTTTAGACCAAAGAAACCTTGGGATATTCTGGAATGAAGACTATGGAAAAAATGTGTAGTGTCTTCCCAAATAGCAAAATGCATTTTCATTATCCTCACTGTATAAGGGAAACAATAAGGAACTTGCAGGTTACAGAATTTGCTCAAAACAACAGAGCAAGTCAGTACTAAGGCCATAAGGAAAATCAAAGAAGATCAGTTACTAATGCTATCTATTTATTATAAATTACTAGATTTATCACTTTATCCCTGCAGGTGTACTAATAAAACAAAAGTATTTTAATGTAACATATCCAGAAAATGCACATCCAGTCATGTAACCAAAGAGCAACTCCAATCTTCAAAAACTTCTGTAAAAAGCTGGCAAGAAAAATAATTTACAGTGTTCTGTTAAATCATGGAGAGAGACCACAGAATTATAAGTTGTAAAAAACAAACATCCCATATACAATAAAACATCTTATTTCAAAACTTCTGATCACAGCCAAGGGAATTTTTGCATAACAAATAAGATTAATCCTTTGAACTCTTTTACTTCCAGCAATTCTGGTCCAAACTCACCATTTTCATTTATGACAAAATCAAAGCCATTTTTTCTGAATATTTCCAGGTTTTCAATCAATACAGTTTCATTTACTGCTGTTAAATTGAGATTTTGAGGCCTGAAAAAGAGAGAAAAAGATGGTGCTGCATAGATACACAGTGCAGAGCATTAAAGAGAGATTTCAGAAACAACCTAGAAATACTTAATACAGAGCTCTGTAGTAAAACTTTTCACTCTGCTGTGTGAAAAAAAAAATCTCACTACTGAACAGTTGCTTCCAAGTGTTACTGAGCAGATGAAGTCAGCTGGGCAGCATTCCTTGCTGCAGGAACAGTCTCCAATATCCCACCAAACTGTGGGCTGCTATCAAAGCCCACTGGGAAATCTGTTTGACCACTGACTTGCTGCACAGCTACAACTGCATCCATGGAATTTATGTTTCATGTAAGGATTGACTCTTTGAAACACAGAATATAAAAACCACTTTAGTCTCAAGTGTTCCGAATGTGTGAAATGCTACATAAATATAAATCATAGATATCATTCTGAAACATTGAATTCAACTTAAAACATGTTATTGTTAAAACACTGAAAATACTTACACTATCAGCTTCTGACCTTGGAGAACAGTGTGTTGTTGCAACATCTCAAAGTTGTATTTCTCGTCAGTAGCATGTTGGTCAATTATGAAAAGATCAGAATTCAACTTTGCTATTATAAACCCTAAATTGAACTGGCCAATGATTTCCATTTTTGCAAACATTTCTTTACTGTATACAAAAAAATATAAAGAGATTATAAATTACACCCTTATCAGTTATCATGTAAAACTTAAAAACTTCTGTTTCTCCCCTACAGAACACACTTCATATTTAAAAAAAAAAAAAAGAAAAATCTAATTTAAGCAGGATATAAATGTTGAAAATCTGCCAATGACCTATGAGGCCATTTCTGGCAGAATAAAATCTGTCATTAAGACAGGTTTCCCCCAACTGTGGTAACAAAATTAGAAGCAGGCAATATGGCAATAGGCAAGGTAACACTGAAGATGGCATCGTGGTTTTGAAGGCAGCTGCCATATTTGCCTTCTTTCCACAATTAGAAGACTTTCCTAACACATTTTTTAAATCCAAATATTAACAAATCACAGACACTGACTGTCCCCTCACCACCTGAATGTAATTTATTTTTCCAGGTATATCTCACCAAATTTCATTCACACAAGTGAGGAATATGAGCTATGCAGTCTTTTCATTCTGCTGTCATGAAATTTAGTTTCTCTGACTGAACTGCAATTTACAAGGCTGATCTAAGCCAAATCTATGGTGTTTGTGGCCTTTTTAGTGTCTTTCCATATTCTGTTTGCACTTAGTTCAAGTAGCTGCTCTGTCAATAAAATAACTCATCAAATAGATTTTTTTTACATTAAGTAAAAAATAAACCCAAACCTAGCAGGTACATGTAAGCCTCTTGCCCACCCTCAAGACAGTCTTATATTTTTGTTTAACTAATTTTATTAATTGATGAACAAAATATATTAAACAAGTGAAAGCAGAAATACCTGATCTCTTTTCTTAATTCATCTTCTGCTACTTTATTGTCCCCAGGACTAATTTTTGCTTTAAATCTTCTGTAATTTTCAGCTTCTGTATTTTTCTGTTGTTGCTGTATTACCTTTTTTACTTTTTCTGCCAAAACCTTCATAGAGAATTCAAGAGGCACAATTTTCTTTTTAACTTCCACCAGTACATCAACATTAGTGTCCTTCACTTCAGGATATTTATCTGCCTTGGAATCATCTGCTTCACTTTTAAACTTTCTGCTTTTAAAACGTTTCACCCTTGGGGAATAACTATTGGCTTCTTGAGAAAACTTGTTTTGATCAGTCCAGTCATTCACTTGATCTAGCTTGGGTTCAGTGCCCAACACCTGAACATCACAGTCCAGTGACTCCTTACTGCATCCAGCAGTTTTAAGACATTCCTTCTGCATCTGTTCTTCTGTGCTACAGAATTCTTCCTCAGAATTAATTGCACTTTCACTATTGATGCAGCTTCCAGCTTCTGGTGTACTACATCCAGCATCTGACTCAGAAATACTACAGAATCCAGAATCTGAAGTATCTTCTAATTTTCTCAAGTGTCTCCTTGGAATTGACACCTTTGAGTCCAA